GACTCACTGTACGTGTGCTAGGACGGGCCGACACTTGGCCACGTTCACCCGTGCACCTGGCTCGAGTCTGTACACACTGACCATTGAGTCCCCTCAGGTAGCTGCGTCTGCGTCTACGTCTGGTCAGCTGGCGGCCCCCTGCGAGCGGTACTTCCTGCTGGTCGTCGACGACTACACGCGCTACACCACGGTCTTCCCCTTGCAGAGCAAGGGGGACGTCCCTGCTGTTTTGATCCCTTGGATCCGCGCTGTTCGTCTCCAGCTCCAGCGGGACTTTCCTGTCCTGCGTCTGCACTCCGACAGAGGTGGTGAGTTCACCTCAGACCTCTTGGCAGCCTACTGTGCAGAGCACGGCATCCGCCAGACGTTCACGCTTCCGGCCTCTCCGCAGTAGAATGGGGTTGCTGAGCGTCGCATTGGCTTAGTCATGGAGGTCGCTCGTACCTCCCTGATCCATGCGGCTGCCCCCCATTTTCTGTGGCCGTTTGCGGTCCGGTACGCCGCGCATCAGCTCAACCTCTGGCCCCGTGTCTCCTTGCCGGAGACCTCGCCCACACTGCTGTGGACGGGGAAGGTTGGCGATGCGTCGCGTTTCCGGGTCTGGGGTGCTCGTGCCTTTGTCCGCGATACCACCGCGGACAAGCTCTCCGCCCGCGCTGTTCCCTGCGTCTTCCTTGGCTTTGTCCCTGACGCGCCTGGTTGGCAGTTTTACCACCCCACCTCGCGCCGTATCTTTGCGTCTCAGGATGTCACGTTTGACGAGTCGGTTCCCTTTTACCGTCTCTTTCCCTACCGCACTGCCCCACTCCCCCCCCGCCGCTCTTCCTCGCTCCAGGTGCTCCCCAGGTAGACCCCCTCCCCGCTCCCGGTCCTGCTCCTTCAGGTGTGTCTCAGGTAGACCCTCCTCCCTTGACTGCGCCGGTTGAGGTCACTGGTGACTCAGGTCCTGCTGAGGGTGGTCCTGCTCGGGGTGCTACTTCTGGGGGTGCTGAGCCTGGGGGTGCGGAGCCTTGGGGTGCTGAGCCTGGGGGTGCGGAGCTTGAGGGTGTGGAGCCTGGAGGTGCTGAGCCTGAGTGTGAGGGGTCTGGGGGTGCTGAGCTTGGCAGTACTGAGTCTGGGGGTGCTGCGCCTGGGGGTGCTGCGCCTGGGGGTGCTGAGGCGTCTGGTGAGCAGTCTCCCTGGAGCGGCCGTCTCCGTAGTCGCTCCGCTGGTGCCTCGCCGCTGCCCTCTCGTCGTCGACTCCCCCTCTCCTCCCTGCAGCTGGTTGAGTGGTACCTTGGCCGTCAGGGCCGCGCTGCTGGAGCTGGTGACTCTGCTCCTAGAGCTGTTTCTACTAGAGGTTCTGGAGCTGCTGGAGGTCCTGGTGCTGGTGGCGCTGGAGCTGGAGGTTCTGGAGCTGCTGAGGGTACTGACGCTGGGGGTTCTGGAGCTGCTGAGGGTGCTGGCGCTAGAGGTTCTGGAGCTGCTGGAGGTGCTGGCGCTGAGGGTGCTGGCACTGGAGGTTCTGGAGCTGTTAGAGGTGCTGACGCTGAGGGTTCTGAGTCTGCTGTTGCGCGGTCTCCTTGGAGTGGCCGCCTTCGTCCACGTGTACCTCTCACCTCACAGCAGCTGCACGACTGGTACGGTCGCCGTCAGGGTCGCGCTTCTGGAGCTAGGGGCTCTGCTACTGGAGGTACTTCTGCTGACGTCACTGGAGCTGGGAGTGGTGCTGGTCTCGGAGGTGCTCGTACTGGGGGTACTGGAGCTACTGGGGCTGGAGGTGCTGAGCCTGCGGGTGCTGCTGCTGGGGACACTGCGGCTGGAGACCCTGGGACTGGGGGTGCCGGTTCTGGGGGTGCTGCTGCTGGTGGAGCTGGCCCTGGAGGAGCTGGCGCTGAGGGTTCTGGTGCTGCTGGAGGTGCTGGAGCTACTGGAGGTGCTGGAGCTGCTGGTGCTGGTAGCACTGCACCGACTCGACTTTTCTTCGCTCCGCCGTCTCCGTCGTCTCAGCCACCGTCTGGCTCTGCCCTTCGCCAGGTTCTTGACCTCCCGTCTTCTACTGGTCTACAGTTACTGCCTGGCTCTCCGCTGCCTGCTCCTTCTCCTTACACTGAGCAGACAGGGGGTCTTGCTAAGTGTCGTGAGCCTGCGTCACGTCCTGTCTCGCCTGTTCGTCCTTGTCGTACCGTTCGTCGTGTTCCTCGTCAGCGTCAGCCGGCTAACCCGGCACACGCCTTGTAGCCCTGCGTCGGTCCTCTCCTCCGGAGCGTACTCCTCTTCCGTCTCCTCCTGCGTCCTCTTAGCCTGACGTCGCGGATCCTAAGCTGACCGGTTTTGTGCTGAGCACCCTACTGTCACGCGTCTGCTAGCCACTGTTGTCACTGACCCGTCGTTTGAGTCTACTGCTGCGTCTAAGCTTGTTGACTTTGCTGCTGCCTGTCGTCTAGACTTCGCTGCCAGTCTTGTTGCTGAGTCTGAGTCTGTCTGTCCTCCGTCCGTCGGGGGTGAGTGTGCTCTTAGCACGGACGTCCTTGAGGACAGGCACGAGGACCTTGAGTGTCTTGCGGCTGCTGCGCCTCATCTCGTGGCCATGCTGCTTGCCCCTGAGGGAGACCCGGATGCACCAGACATCCCGACCCCGCGCTCTTACGCTGAGGCGATCGCGGGTGAGTACTCCTCTCAGTGGCAGACAGCCATGGACGCAGAGATGGCATCCTGGAAGTCCACAGGCACTTACATCGATGAGGTTCCCCCTCCTTGGGCGAACATCGTCGATGGCATGTGGATTTTCAGGGTGAAGCGGCCGCCGGGTTCTCCGCCTGTCTTCAAGGCTCGTTACGTTGCTAGAGGCTTCAATCAGCGAGAGGGAGTTGACTTCTTCCTGACCTTCTCCCCCACCCCGAAGATGACCACTCTTCGGGTGCTGCTGCACATTGCCGCTCAGCGTGACTACAAGCTTCACTCTCTTGACTTCAGCACAGCCTTCTTACAGGGCAGCCTGCACGAGGAGATCTGGCTGCGCCGCCCACCTGGCTTCACTGGGTCGTTCCCTCCTGGTACCCAGTGGAGCCTCCGACGGCCAGTCTACGGTCTCCGCCAGGCGCCTTGTGAGTGGCACGACACACTGAGGACTACACTTGCAGCTCTTGGGTTCGCTCCTTCGACTGCTGACTCGTCGCTGTTTCTGCGCACCGACACTTCCCTGCCGCCGTTCTACATCCTCGTGTACGTCGACGACTTGGTCTTTGCCACTTCTGACACTGAGGCTCTCGCTCAGGTGAAGTCGGAGCTGCAGAAGAGACACACGTGCACAGACCTGGGTGAGCTGCGCAGCTACCTTGGCTTGCAGATCACCCGGGACTGAGCACGCCGCACCATCATCCTGACTCAGTCACACATGGTGCAGCAGGTCCTTCAGCGCTTCGGCTTCTCCTGGTCCTCCCCACAGCCCACTCCTCTGGCTACAGGTCACTCGCTCTCAGCTCCACCTTCGGACGAGTCCGTAGAGCCGAGTGGTCCTTACCCAGAGCTAGTTGGCTGCCTCATGTACCTGATGACCTGCACTCGACCTGACCTCGCATACCCTCTTGGTCTTTTGGCTCGTTACGTGGCTCCTGGCAGGCACCGAAAGGTGCACATGGATGCTGCCAAGAGGGTGTTGCGCTACCTGTGCAGTACATCAGGCATGGGGCTCGTGCTTGGAGGACGGAGTGAGGTGGTCCTCACTGGGCACTCAGACGCGTCTTGGGCTGACGACCAGACTACACAACGGTCGTCACAGGGTTACACCTTCAGCCTTGGCTCTGGCTCTGTTTCTTGGCAGTCTACACGCTCGTCTTCTGTTCTCAGCTCCAGTTGTGAGGCTGAGATCTACGCCACCGCCATGGCTGCACAGGAGCTACGCTGGCTCACCTACCTGCTGACTGAATTGGGTGAGCAACCTCGTTCTCCTCCAGTTCTGTACGTTGACAACAAGGCGGCCATTGCCTTGTGTGAGGAGCACAGACTGGAGCACAGAACGAAGCACATCGCTCTGCGTTACTTCCTGGCTCGAGAGTTGCAGCAGTGAGGCCAGCTTCGTCTTCGCCACGTGGCCATTCGGGCCAACACTGCTGATATATTCACCAAGGCACTTCCGTCTGGTAATCATCAGCGCTTTTGTACTTTGTTGGGCCTTGTGCCTACGTTTCCACACTTGCTGTAGTCTCTACTTGTACTGTGATCTATATATATACCTGCATGCTGGCTCTTGCTAGGTAGTCATCACTGTACTGTTATTGCTGCATATATACCTCTGCATGTGAACTGGCCTTGTGGCCCTTGCTTGTGCTCAGAGTGTGTGGTGACGTTGTGATCCACCCTGAGCTTGCTTTGCTTCTCTTGACTGGTCGTGTGACCCCTTGTTCTCCCCCACTTTGCCTATGGGGGTGTGTCAAACATATATGCTGCATATTGTCTAGGCTGTAGTGGGGTAGCCCATATGGGGTACAACCCAATTAGGGTTTACTACTTGTACTCCTGCATGCCACTAGTTCAACCATTCCAGCTGCTAGTTTTTAACACGTGCAGCTGTGGGTAGCCGTAGCGGTGATTCCCCTTAGCACTGTGGAGTGCGAAAGGGGCTTCTCTCGCCAAAACGTGATCAAGACTTGGCAGCGGAGTGGCCTCAAAGATGCAAGGCTGGGCGACTTGATGTGCATGTCTCTGATGCCGTACGAGCCTCAGTACGATGAGGTGGTCAAGATATGGAGAAGCTACAAGAAGAGAAAGCCATTTTCTGATGACCCAATCTCCACCCCAGGTGAAACCAGCATGAAGGGGAAAGCGACAGCTGTGGAAGTAGATGAACCCCATGCTGTAGATGATTTAGGCTCTAGTGATGGCGAAGAGGATCATGAGGATGATAATATGTATAGTTAGTTCCCCTGTAAACGCTTGTTATATCAATCCAAAACTTGTTAGTTGATTGTCATGCCGGTTCAGTCTTTACTGTAAAGTGACGCTGATCGTTCAGCTTTTTTATGTCAAACGTATATAACATTGTTTGTCTAGGCTTTAGTGGGTTAGACAATATAGGGTATAGGTTTTGTTACTTGTATCTCCCTCTCTCCTAGTCGCACACATTCTTCTCGCTTTCACATGGTATAGAGCACGTTCCCCTAGTGGGACCGTTCCTACCTTGGGCCCACCATTTTGACCTTTTTTTTAGCCTGCCCGAAGCGCGCTTTGCGCCCTGCCCAGAAAATTCGCGGCCCCTTAGAGGCCTGCCCCTTAAAGGCCCTTCGCGGCCCCTCTTAAAGGCCCGTCGCGGCCCCTTCGCGGCTCGTCGCCGCCCCTTCACGGCCCCGTCGCGGCGCGTCGCGGCCCTTCGCAGCCTTCGCGGCCCTTCGCGGCCCCACTTCCCGGCCCGCCCGCGGCTCTTCGCGGCCCCTTCGCGGCCCCCCCTACGCGGCCCCTCCGCGGCTCTGCCGCCCTGCCGCCCCGTCGCCCCGTCGTCGCCGCCTCCACAGCCGCGGCCGTCGCACCTGCTGCCGCTGCCGCTTCCGCCACGGCTGGCCGCCGCCGCAGCTACTGCCGTGACGACCGCCGCCACTGCTGCTGTGCCAGCCGCCGCTGCTCCTGCCGTGACAACTGCCGCCGCTGCAACTACGACAGCAGCCGCCGCCGTTGCTGTGACAGCCGCTGCCGCCGCTGTCGTGACAGCCGCCGCCGCCGTTCGTCGCGGCCGCCGCCGTTCGTAGCAGCCGCCGCCGCCGTCCCGGCCCTGTTCTGCCGCCCTGCTGCGGCCCTGACCCTGCTCGAGCACCTCGGCCTTGCCCCACCGCTTACGGGCTTCTCCAGCCCGCCCCTGGTAAGCGCATCGCCGAGCCGCGCCCCTACTGCTACTGCTACTGCTCCTGCTCGCTTGCTTCTACTGCTGCTGCTAGCCTGCTCCGCCTGCTGCCATGGCTAGTCCTGCTGTGCTTACCTTCGATGCTGAGGGTCGGGCGATAGACTTTGAGGTCTGGCTTGACGACTTGCAGCTTTTCCTGCAGTGTGATAGCAAAGACGATGTCTCGCTGTACGACCTCACGTCTGGTGCTTCCCCCCAACCTGCTGCTGATGCTGATGCTACTGTTCGCTCGCGCTGGAACACCCGCGATGCTGCTGCCCGCCTTGCTGTGCGTAGTCACCTGCCGTCTGCTGAGCGTGCGCACTTCACTCAGTTTAAGACCGCTAAGACCCTGTTCGATGCTGTCGTTGCGCGCTACTCCTCCCCTGCCTCTGCTGCCCTTAGCCGCCTCATGCTCCCCTACCTTTTCCCTGACCTCGCCGCCTTTGATACAGTCGTTGACCTCATTGCACACCTCCGCACTAGTGACACCCGCTACCGTGCTGCGCTTCCTGCTGAGTTCTGCGCCAAGAACCCCCCCCCCATGTACATCACCCTCTACTACCTAGTCACCCGCCTCCCTGACTCCCTTCGCTCAGTCAGGGACCACTTCCTGGCTGTCTGCCCTACCACCCTCATCGTTGACCTCCTAGCGAAGGAGCTCCTTGCAGCTGAGCAGAGCATAGTCGCTGTAGGAGCCTCTCGAGGTGACCCCCGTGCCCCTATCTTTGAGGGGTGCTCCCCTGTTCCCCTTTTGCCCTCTGTTGCCTCTGCTGCTGCTGTCGACCTCCTTGGCACTGAGTCGGTCGGCGCTGCGTCTGCCCCTAGCGGGAGGCGCCGCAACAGCAAGGGCAAGGGAGGCAAGGGTGCTGGAGGAGATGGCGGAGGTGGTGGTGGTGGTGGTGGAGGCGGCCGGGGGGGTGGGGGTGGAGGTGGGAGTGGGGGCGGAGGCGGGGGCTCTGGTGGCGGCGGTGGAGGCGGAGGCAGCGGCAACGGCAGCGATGGGAGTGGAGGAGGTGGTGGTGGCGGCGGTGGCAGCGGAGGAGGCAGTGGCGGTGGTGGCGGTGGCGCTGGTCGGGGTGGCTCCGTGCAGACGGGTGGCTCTGGTGGTGGACAGCGTCAGCAGCAGCAGCGCTCTCGTCAGGCCCCGCCGCCCCAGCAGCTTCACCAGTGGTACGCTGGGCGTCAGCGGCCTGGGGGTCCTGGTCCCTGTACCTACGTTCTGCGTACTGGTGACCGCACTGGTGAGCCGTGTGGCGGCCCGCACACCACCCAGCGCTGCTTCGGTCGCCTGACAGACGCCTGGCGTATCCGGTTCCCTGACGCCACTGAGCTCCCGCACTGGCATGAGCTACTTAGGTCGGGGGTTCCTATCTTTGATCTTGACTATGATGCTATCCTTGCTGCCATGTATGTTATGTCTACTAGTGATGACGGTGACTGTTACCTGAGTGTTCCGCCCGACCCGGGCGGTGCAGCTGCTGCTCTAGGTGCCACTGAGTCTGCTGCTCCAGGTGCTAGCGAGTCTGCTGCTCCAGGTGCTAGTGAGTCTGCTGCTCTAGGTGCTGGTGAGTCTGCTCTCTCAGGTACCTCAGGTGCTGGTGAGTTGACCAGTTCACTCCTGCGCGTCAGCGGGTGACCCACTGCACGTGTGCTGACACGGGCCGACACTTGGCCACGTTTACTCGTCGGCCGGGGTCGAGCCTGTACACCCTGACTACCGAGTCTCCTCCAATTGCTGTGCCTGGTCAGGTAGCTGCGTCGGGTCAGGTGTTTGCTGCAGCGTCTCGGTCTGGTCCTGAGTCTGGCCCCTGCTCGTGTCACCTTCTGTCCCACGAGACTCTTCTCTGGCACCACCGTCTTGGTCACCCCTCCCTGCCTCGTCTCCGAGGCATGGCCTCTCGTGTCCTGGTCTCTGGTCTCCCCCGGTCTCTCCCTCCCCTCCCTCCGGGGCCTGCCCCTACCTGCGTTCCCTGCGTCGAGGGGCGGCAGCGCGCCGCTCCTCACTCCTCCGAGTTTCCGCCGACAGAGGCTCCGCTGCAGACTCTTCACATGGACGTGTGGGGCCCAGCCCGCGTCCGTGGACAGGGTCACGAGCGCTACTTCCTGCTGGTGGTTGACGACTACTCGCGTTACACCACAGTCTTCCCCTTGCGCCGCAAGGATGAGGTCACTGAGGTGTTGATCGACTGGATCCGCGCTGCTCGTCTCCAGCTCAGGAAGAGCTTCGGCTCGGACTTTCCTGTTCTGCGTCTGCACTCTGACAGAGGCGGAGAGTTCTCCTCCGGCCCTCTACGAGCCTTCTGTCGTGCGAGGGGCATCCGCCAGACGTTCACGCTTCCGGCCTCTCCGCAGCAAAATGGGATTGCTGAGCGCCGCATTGGCATGGTCATGGATGTCGCTCGCACGTCCATGATCCATGCGGCTGCTCCCCATTTTCTGTGGCCGTTTGCAGTTCAGTACGCGGTGCATCAGATCAACCTTCAGCCCTGGGTCTCCATGCGAGACACCTCCCCCACTCTGAGGTGGACAGGGCAGGTTGGCGATGCGTCTGCGTTCCGTGTCTGGGGATCTCGGGCTTTTGTCCGAGACTTGTCTGCGGACAAGCTGTCCTCCCGTGCTGTTCCCTGCGTCTTCCTTGGCTTCCCCTCTGACGCGCCTGGTTGGCAGTTTTACCACCCCACCTCGCGCCGTGTTCTGTCCTCCCAGGACGTCACGTTTGACGAGTCGGTTCCGTACTACCGTCTCTTCCCCTACCGCGCTGCCCCCCTTCCCCCCCCGCCGCTCTTCCTTACGCCAGGTCCCCCCCCGGTAGACCCCCTCCCCCCTCAGGGTCCTGCTCCTTCAGGTGTGTCTCAAGTAGACCCCCCCCTTGGCTGAGCCTTTGGAGGTCACTTCCGACACCTCTGGCCCACCTGAGGGGGGTGACGCTGTTGCTGACGCCCCGGCGGCCTACCGCCGCGCACCACGCTTGGAGACCCCTCCGGGGTTCCCTCCGCGACCTTCTTCGCCGCCTCTGCAGCCGGTTCCTGTTGACTCTGGTGCTGTCGGGGGTGGTGCTCTTGGTGGGGCTGCGTCTCGGGGTTCGGAGTCTGGGGGTGCTGAGCCTGCGCGTGAGGAGACTGGAGGTCCTGCGCCTGGGGGTGCTGTGACTGGGGGTACTGAGCCTGTGTGTGCGGAGTCTGGGGGTGCTGAGTCTGGAGGTGAGACGCTTGAGGGTACTGGGACTGCTGGTGCGCGGTCTACTTGGACTGGCCACCTTCGTCCGCGTGTGCCTCTCACCTCACAGCAGTTGCACGACTGGTACGGTCGCCGTCAGCGTCGCGCTGCTGGAGCCCGGGGCTCTGCTGCTGGAGGTACTGGAGCTGCTGGGGCTGGGGGTGCTGCGCTTGGAGGTGCTGTTGCTGGAGACACTGAGACTGGCGACCCTGGGACTGGAGGTGCTGGTTCTGGGGGTGCTGCTGCGGGAGACACTGCGGTTGGAGACCCTGGGACTGGAGGTGCTGGTTCTGGGGGTGCTGCTGCGGGAGACACTGCGGTTGGAGACCCTGGGACTGGAGGTGCTGGTTCTGGGGGTGCTGCTGCGGGAGACACTGCGGTTGGAGACCCTGGGACCGGAGGTGCTGGTTCTGGGGGTGCTGCTGCGGGAGACACTGCGGTTGGAGACCCTGGGACTGCAGGTGCCGGTTCTGGGGGTGCTACTGCTGGTGACGTTGGCTCTGGAGCTGCTGGAGGCACTGGAGCTGTTGGAGGTGCTGGAGCTGCTGGAGTTGCTGGAGCTGCTGGAGCTGCTAGTCCTGTGCAGCTACGCCAACGCGACTGTTTTTCGCTCCGTCGTCTCCGTCGTCGTTTCGTCAGGTTGTTACTCTCCCGTCGTCTACTGGTCTTCCGTTACAGACTGGCTCACCGCTGCCTGCTCCCTCTCCTTAGACTGAGCAGACCTCCTTACACTGAGCAGACAGGTAGTCCTGCTGAGCGTCGTGAGCCTGCGTCGCGTCCTGTCTCGCCTATTCGTTCTGGTCGTACCGGTAGTCGTGTTCCTCGTTCGCGTCAGCCGGCTGTCCCCAGCGCACACCTTGTTGTCCGTCGTCCTTCCTCTGCTCCGCAGCCTGTTCCTTTGCCGTCTCCCCCTGCGTCCTCTCTGCCTGCCGTTCCGGACCCTGAGTCTGACCTGTTTCGTGCTGAGCACCCTACTGTCATGCGTCTGCTAGCCACTGTTGTCACTGACCCGTCGTTTGAGTCTACTGTTGCGTCTGCCTTGGTCGCTGAGCTTGTTGACTTTGCTGCTGCCTGTCGTCTAGACTACGCCGCTAGTCTTGTTGCTGAGTCTGAGTCTGTCTGTCCTCCGTCCGTTGGGGGTGAGTGTGCTCTTAGCACGGACGTCCTAGAGGACAGGCAGGAGGAGTTCCAGTGTCTTGCTGCTGCTTTACCTCATCTCGTGGCCATGCTGCTTGCCCCTGAGGGAGACCCGGATGCACTAGACATCCCGACTCCGCGCTCTTACGCTGAGGCGATAGAGGGTCCCTACTCCTCTCAGTGGCAGGCAGCCATGGACGCAGAGATGGCTTCCTGGAAGTCCACAGGCACCTACGTTGACGAGGTTCCCCCACCTGGAGCGAACATCGTCAGTGGCATGTGGATTTTCAGGGTGAAGCGGCCGCCGGGTTCTCCGCCTGTCTTCAAGGCGCGTTACGTGGCTCGAGGCTTCAGTCAGCGGCAGGGAGTTGACTACTTTCAGACCTTCTCTCCCACCCCGAAGATGACCACTCTTCGGGTGCTGCTACACATAGCCGCTCACTGTGACTACGAGCTTCACTCTCTGGACTTCAGCACAGTTTTCCTACAGGGCAACCTGCACGAGGAGATCTGGCTGCGCCGCCCACCGGGCTTCACTGGGACGTTTCCTCCTGGCACCCAGTGGAGCCTCCGCCGGCTAGTCTACGGTCTCCGCCAGGCGCCGCGTGAGTGGCACGACACACTGAGGACTACGCTTGCGGCTCTTGGGTTTGCTCCTTCTACTGCCAAACCGTCGCTGTTTCTGCACACCGACACCTCTTCGCTGCCGCCGTTCTACATCCCCGTGTACGTCGACGACTTGGTCTTCGCTACAGCTGACACTGCTGGACTCGCCCACGTGAAGTCCGAGCTGCAGAAGCGACACACGTGCACAGACCTGGGTGAACTGCGCAGCTACCTCGGCTTGCAGATCACCCGGGACAGAGCACGGCGCACCATTACACTGTCTCAGTCACACATGGTGCAGCAGGTCCTTCAGCGCTTCGACTTCACGTACTCCTCGCCTCAGGCCACTCCTCTGTCTACTCGCCACTCGCTCTCAGCTCTGCCTTCGGATGAGTCCGTAGAGCCGAGTGGCCCGTACCCAGAGCTTGTTGGCTGCCTCATGTACCTGATGACCTGCACGCGACCTGACCTTGCATATCCTCTTAGCATCTTGGCACGATATGTTGCTCCTGGGAGACATCGTCTAGAGCAAACGCATGGCTGCAGCGAAGAGGGTGTTGCGCTACTTGTGCAGTACGTCGGGCATGGGGCTAGTGCTTGGAGGGCAGAGTCCAGTGGTCCTCACTGGTCACGCAGACGCGTCTTGGGTTGACGACCTGGCTACGCAGCGGTCGTCACAGGGTTACACCTTCAGCCTTGGTTCCGGCTCTGTTTCGTGGCGGTCTACCCGCTCGTCGTCTGTTCTCAGCTCTAGCTGTGAGGCTGAGATCTACGCAGGAGCCATGGCTGCACAGGAGTTACGCTGGCTCACTTACCTGGGACTGATCTGGGAGAGCGGCCTCATTCTCCTCCAGTTCTGTACGTAGACAACAAGGCCATGCTGGCCTTGTGTCGGGACCACAGACTGGAGCACAAAACGGAGCACGTTGCTCTTCGCTACTTCCTTGCTCGTGAGCTGCAGCAGCGTGGTCAGCTGCGCCTTGCTTACGTGGCCACTCGGGCCAACACTGCTGATATCTTCACCAAGGCACTTCCGCCTTGTGATCATCAGCGCTTCTGTACGATGCTAGGTCTTGTGCCCACTTGGCCTCACTTGCTCACTTCTTGACCTTGCTTGTACTGTGTCTTATATATACCTGCTCTTGTTTGTTTACCTTCATATATAATCTTGCATGTGAACTGGCCTTGTGGCTTTGACCTTGTGCTCGGAGTGTGTGGTGACGTCGTGATCCACCCTGAGCTTGCTTTGCTTGACTGGTCTTGTGGCCTTTAGGTCTTCCCACTTTGCCTATGGGGGTGTGTCAAACTTATATAACATTGTTTGTCTAGGCTTTAGTGGGTTAGACTCTATAGGGTATAGGTTTTGTTACTTGTATCTCCCTCTCTCCTAGTCGAACCATTCTTCTCGCTTTCACATTTTAGTCATAGACACCCTGAAAAGTCAGCTTTTGTTTTTTATACACCACTGACTGATCAGCCATGCACTCACTTCTAAGGTTGACCAGTCAGCCTACGCCAAAACGAATCTGAGGACCTGCTCAGCGGGCATTGGGTGGGGCCGTGGCATGGGCACCGGTTGGGAGTCGAGCAGCTTCTGGGGGGGGGGGTTTCCTTTGCCTGGATTGAATCAGAACCCTGGACAAGCGTTTTTTTGCTTTGTCAGGTCAGGGTTGATTTCTGCAAAAGCCCTGAAACTACAAGAAGGCTTTGAAAAATTGCCCTGACAAATCAGGCCATTTTTAAGATTCTGGGAAGGTGCCCTGAGGCCTCACGGTGCCCCAAATCCTAGCACGAGGCCTGCCTCCAGGTTTTGTGTACCCCTAATGTGCACCTCACTAAAGCCTATTTTAGCTGTACACATAGTTTGACAAAATGTACCGGCACCTCATTGTACGCCTATCAGAAGCAGTTTTATAATTTGACAATATATTCTTAAGAGGACTGGATGTGTAATCGGAAGCGCGATATGACCCCTTTGCCCAATTAGAGGCATTGTGGTCAAATAACGGGAAGGGGGCATGTATATCCATGTAGAAAATGAAGGTGAACAGATGCTTGCGTGGCACAGCTTAGCATTCAAGCATAACCAGTTGTACCCGCTGCTTTGTAACCCCGATGCTGTGTGGCAATGTATGTTCTGGGAGGCACAGGGGCATAGTCAACAAGGGAATTGAAGAGCATATTCAGCACAGGGGTAATGGTGTGAAGACAGCACAGGGGTATGGTGTGATGACAGCACAGGGGTATGGTGTGAAGACAGGCCTCGCACACAGCAGCGACCGAGTCATCTGTGGAAAAAGGGCAGACGGTACTGAGGGGGTGAAAGAGGATTGCAAGACGGCATGGCAGAGAGCCGACCACCCACCGGGAACATAAATCCCTTCACCCCCCTCGCCTGCTCTGACCAGCACAAGCCGCCTCGCAGCGAGCGGAGCGGCAGCACCAGCCCACGTCAAGACATGCCCACACACCAGACGTCACTCGCGTGCCCCAAACATGCATGTCGCCCCAAACATGCATGTCGCCCCAAACATGCATGTCGCCCCAAACATGCATGTCGCCCGAAACATGCATGTCGCCCCAAACATGCATGTCGCCCCAAACATGCATGTCGCCCCAAACATGCATGTCGCCCCAAACATGCATGTCGCCCCAAACATGCATGTCGCCCCAAACATGCATGTCGCCCCAAACATGCATGTCGCCCCACCTCCTTGCCCCACTTCCCCGCCCCACCTCCGCGTCCCACCGCCTTGCCCCACCACCTCGCACGCAAGTGGCTGCCCGGGCTGACTGACTTCTCTCCCTGCCCAGCCCGCCTTCCAACTTGCCTTTCACAGCCCTCACCACTACAGCCCTCACCACTACAGCCCTCACCACCGCCTCACCACTACAGCCCTCACCACTACAGCCCTCACCACTACAGCCCTCACCACTACAGCCCTCACCACTACAGCCCTCACCACTACAGCCCTCACCACTACAGCCCTCACCACTACAGCCCTCACCACTACAGCCCTCACCACTACACTCACCACTACAGCCCTCACCACTACAGCCCTCACCACTACAGCCCTCACCACTACAGCCCTCACCACTACACTCACCACTACAGCCCTCACCACTACAGCCCTCACCACTACAGCCCTCACCACTACAGCCCTCACCACTACAGCCCTCACCACTACAGCCCTCACCACTACAGCCCTCACCACTACAGCCCTCACCACTACAGCCCTCACCACTACAGCACTCACCACTACAGCCCTCACCACTACAGCCCTCACCACTACAGCCCTCACCACTACAGCCCTCACCACTACAGCCCTCACCACTACAGCCCTCACCACTACAGCCCTCACCACTACAGCCCTCACCACTACAGCCCTCACCACTACAGCCCTCACCACTACAGCCCTCACCACTACAGCACTCACCACTACAGCCCTCACCACTACAGCCCTCACCACTACAGCCCTCACCACTACAGCCCTCACCACTACAGCCCTCACCACTACAGCCCTCACCACTACAGCCCTCACCACTACAGCACTCACCACTACAGCCCTCACCACTACAGCCCTCACCACTACAGCCCTCACCACTACAGCACTCACCACTACAGCCCTCACCACTACAGCCCTCACCACTACAGCCCTCACCACTACAGCCCTCACCACTACAGCACTCACCACTACAGCCCTCACCACTACAGCCCTCACCACTACAGCCCTCACCACTACAGCCCTCACCACTACAGCCCTCACCACTACAGCACTCACCACTACAGCCTTCACCACTACAGCCCTCACCACTACAGCCCTCACCACTACAGCCCTCACCACTACAGCACTCACCACTACAGCCCTCACCACTACAGCCCTCACCACTACAGCCCTCACCACTACAGCCCTCACCACTACAGCCCTCACCACTACAGCCCTCACCACTACAGCCCTCACCACTACAGCCCTCACCACTACAGCCCTCACCACTACAGCCCTCACCACTACAGCCCTCACCACTACAGCCCTCACCACTACAGCCCTCACCACTACAGCCCTCACCACTACAGCCCTCACCACTACAGCCCTCACCACTACAGCCCGTACCAGTGCAGCCCTCACCACTACAGCCCTCACCACTACAGCCCTCACCACTACAGCCCTCACCACTACAGCCCTCACCACTACACCGTGGCAGGCGGGGGCGGGGGCGGGGCGGCTAGAGCCACTTGGGCCAGAAGCCGTGCACCCAGTAGCCCTGCTTCGCGTGGTCCAGCTGCACCACCTGCCGCACCGACGCCGCCGCCACGCCCATGGCGATGAACAGCAGTGCGCGCTGCATCCACGCGCTGCGCATGCGCGGCGCCACGTGCGTGGCGAAGGCGACGAGCAGCCCCACGGTGGTGTAGAGCGCGCCGATGGTGAAGCCCTCCGCGCCAAACTGCGCGCCGCTGCCGCCGTAGAAGTAGGTGAAGCGGCCGGGGCGCTGGTGGTCGGGCACGAAGAGGGGCATGCCGCGGATGATGTTGAACATGCCGCCCGACACCGAAAAGAAGTACACGCCCACGCCCACCACGCACCACGTCGCCGCCTCGTGCAGCGGCGTGCGCGTCGTCACCAGCAAGAGCAGGACGAAGGGCGCGGCGATGACAGCGAGGGCGGCGGCAGCGATGATCTGCGCGGGGGAGAACTTGGGCGGGCGGTCGATGGGCCCCACGTCCACGCCCCCCGCCGCCTGCAGGAACTTGGCGAAGCCGTCGGCCGTGGCGGGCGCGGACTGGAAGTCCATGTCGTGGCCGCGCGTGGACTTGGTGCCCGCGGGGAAGAAGCGCGTGGCGGGCAGCCCGTTCACGGCGAGCGCGTGGAAGACCTTCTCCGCCTGCCCGTACTCCACGTCGCAGAAGAACACCTCGTCGCGCGGCAACGCGCCCTCCGCCAGGAACTTGCTGGCGTACGCCTTAGCGAGCAGCGCGAACTCGCGGCGCAGCGCGGGCAGCTTGAGGTCGGCGTTGTCGTGCAGCTTGGCGGCGTCGAAGAACAGCAGCACGCCGTACGGCCGCGCCTCCGCCGCCTTGATGTACGCCGCGAAGCGCTCCTCCGTGATGCGGATCACGCCGTCCTTGGCGCTCCGCCGGAGCTCCCGCAGCTCGTCCACTCGCGAGTCGGCGAGGGCGAGCGGGAGTATCGCGAGTAGCGCCACGACGGCGACAAGACGCCACTGCGATGCCATGGCGCGACGAGGCTGCGAGAAACAGCAGGGAGAGCAGCAGGGGGATACTGAGAGAATGGCGACACGAACGGACTGATCAAGTGGGTGAATGGAGTGACGTGGTGCGTGAGTCAGATCTGGCTGGCTGGTCAGGACGTTGCTAACAAGCGCAGTGAATTGCTCTCCCAGCGTGTGTCATCAGAACAGCTTCGTTATTCGTACAAGAGTTAAAATTTCAGGAGAGCTTCGTTGAAGGTCCTTTCTGGTACATAACTTCAATTTAAAATAATAATAAAAATAATAATAATAATAACAACAACAATAATAAAAATAATAATAATACTAACACAGTAGTAATACTAATCATCAAAGGTCGTAGCGTCTCGTGAGGCGCGTCTTGTGGTTTCTGCTTATAATAAGGTCTGCTTTAGTATGTTAACATGAGGGCAACTTTCAAATGTCGTAGCGTCTAGTGAGGCTTGTCTTAGGGGGTACAAATATTAGGGTTTGCTATATGTACCCCAACCCACATCAATGAAACCACAATTCAATTTCTGACATGGTATCACATAGGTTAGGATCCCGTAGGATCCCGTAGGATCCCGTTACTCTTGCCCGAGCCTCCGGAGCCTCACTCGCCTCACCCGTTCCGTCCTGTCTCGTGACGCTGCAGTAGCGCCCCTTACGTACGCCCGTCCGCCGCGCGCCTGCAATCGTGCTTGCCGCAGCGCGTTCTGCCCGTTCTCGCGCCCGTCCCGTCCCGTCCCGTCCCCCGTCCCGTCGCGCGCCTGCCCTAAGTGCCCACCGCACATACCCTTGGTGCCCGCCAGCGCGCCTACCCTTAGCGACCGCCGCGCGCCTGCCCTTCGCGCCCGCCGCGTCTGCCCTTAGCGCCCGTCGCGCCTGCCCTTAACTCCCGCCAGCGGGCCTGCCCTTAGCGCCCGCCGCGCCTGCCCTTAGCGCTGCAGCGCCTGCCCGTAGTGCTCGCAGCGCTGCCCTAAACGCCCGCCACCTGTCTGCCCTTAGCGCCCGCCGCGCGCCTGCATTTAGCGCTCGCCAGCGGGCCGCACCTAAGCGCTCCTCGCGCCTGCCCTACGTGCGCGCCTGCCGCGCCTGCCCTACGTGCCTGCCCACGAGCCTGCCGTCGCGCTCGCCCGAGCGCCTGCCCTCCGCCGGCCCGCGCGCCTCGACGCCGCGCCCCGCGCCTGCCTTTGCGCCCGATCGCCGCGCCTGCCGTCGCACCTGCAGCTGCGCCCACGCGCCCGCTATGCTACTCCTTCCACTGTCTCTCTAGGTCGCCTGTTGCTCCCCTTCCTGCTTCCTGACCTTGCCTCGTTTGAGCGCTCTGCTGACCTAATCGCTCACCTGCGCGCACTAGACTCTAGCTACCGCGCTGCCTGCACTGACGCACAGCTTGCACTGCTCCCTCCTCCCATGGCGATCACTATCTATTACATCGCCACTAGCCTCCATGGCCGCCTTGCTTCGGTTCGTGACGTGCTTCTTCTGAAGCATCCTAGCGAGCTCACTATATTGAGTCTGCTCTCAAGGACGTCGAGAGCAACCTCCGCTCGGTAGCCTCCGCATCTGGTGCTGTGCCCCCCCTACTGTTTTCTGGGTGCACGGTCCCTTAGTTGCCCACCTTTACTGCCTCCCTCGCCACTGCCGCGACTGATGTGACCGCAGCTACTGCTACGAATTCTTCGCGCTCTAGGGGTCAGAGTGGTCGGCGGGGCGGCCAGGGTGCGGGTGGCGGCAGCGGCGGCGGGGGTGGAGCTACGGGTGGTGGTGGCGGGAGTGCAGGGGCTGGTGGAGCGCCCGGGGCTGCGTCTCGTGACCCCCCTCCCACGACTGGTGGAGGTGCCGCTCGGGTTTCTACGAGACTGCCGCCTTTGGGTACTGGAGTGGCAGCATGGTACTTGACCCAGCGCCAGCAGCAGCAGCAGCAGCAGCAGCAGCCGCCTCTCTCGCAGTGGCCGCAGCAGCAGCAGCAGCAGCAGCAGCAAGGGCAGCAGCCGGTGTCAGGAGCATGTCAGCAGTCACGTGGTGACGTCCACCCTCCCTGCCCCTACATGATCCAGACAGGTACTTGCAGTGGCTTCCGCTGTGACCGCCACCACCCGCTTGGTCAGTGCTTTGCTCAGCTCACTGACACCCTTCGCGCGGCCTACGGCGTTGGCGGCCCTGTCCCTGACTGGCTTCCTCTTGTTCAGTCCCACGGTGCTGCACTGTGGGCCATGTCTGCTTCTCAGCTGCTTATCTCTTAGAAACTCATCATGCTATGTATGCTGTTGTTGACTCTAGTGCTTCTGACTATATTTACTCATCTATTGTTAGCTTAGGTGCTAGTGTTGATCATGTGCCTGTTGCTAGTCTAGGTACTTGCTTAGGTATTAGTCTAGGCACTGCTCCAAAGCGCTCTTTGCTGTCTTTCACCCTTGACTCCGGAGCTTCGTACTGCTTCTTCCGCGACCACACGACTCTTACTCCGCTTCCTGCACTGGTCTCGGTAGCACTGGCTGATCTGACTTCGGGACCCGTCACTACTCGCTACACTACTACGCTTCCGTGCCCGGCTGTACCCTCGGGTGTCCTGACTGGCTTTTACGTCCCCTCGTTCTCCAGGAACTTGGTGGGTGTGAGACCACTCGTAGACAGTCACGTGGGGGTTTGGATCGAGCCTTCTGGGGACACTGCATCTGTGTAGACGGTGACACGTACGCGCCCCTGGCCACCTTTGTCACTGAGCCCGGCTCTGGTCTCTACACACTTCAGACTGCCCCCAGCGAGAGCCAGCAGTAGCAGCTGCCCCCGCCACCTGTCGCAGCCCTCCGTCAGGTCCCCGCGTCTCACCAGGTAGCTGCCTCCCCCCAGGTAGCTGTGTCTGGTAGGGTTCCAATGTCTGGTCCGGTTGCTGCGTCTTGCTCGTGTCGGTCGCTTGCCCACCCCACCGTTCTGTACGACCACCCTCTTGGTCACCCGTCTCTTCCTCGCCTCCGCACTATGTCTACTCAGGGTCTCGTCTTAGGCCTCCCGCGTGTCTTGCCGTCGCTGCCGCCTTCGCTTGCACCACCTTGTGCCCCTTGCGTTGAGGGTCGGCTGCGCGCGACCCCTCACTCCTCCCTTTGTCCGACCATCGAGCCCTTCCAGACTCTCCACTTGGACGTCTAGGGCCCCGCCTCGTGCCCTAGCCCTGAGCGAGAGAGTTTCTTTCTCGTGGTCGTTGACAAATACTCTCGCTACACCACTGCATTTCCTCTGGCGAAGAAGTCTGACGTGACTTCTACGCTTATCAGGTGGTTACTCACCACTGAGGACACTCGTGGTCGTCGTGTCAGTTGTCTTCACTCCGACCGTGGGGGTGAGTTTTGCTCCGGCATTCTCGCCGGATTCTGTCACGAGCAAGGCATCCGTCAGTCCTTGACACTTCCAGAGTCCCCACAGCAGAATGGGGTTGCTGAGCGCCGCATAGGCTTGGTCATGGAGATCGCCCGCACCTCCATGACTCACGCCCGTGCCCCCCATTTTCTATGGCCCTACGCGGTTCAGTATGCCGCTCACCAGCTGAACCTCTGGCCACGTATCTCCCGGCCAAGGGCTTCACCGACCGGTCTTTGGACCGGGTCCCTTAATGATGCGTCGCGTTTTTGTGTCTGGGGCTGCTTGGCGCGTGCTCGCGACACCTCCGCGGAGAAGATCTCGTCTCGCGCCATTCCCTGTGTCTTCCTTGGTTTCCCCGAGGACTCCTCTCAGTTCCCCTTTTACCACCCTCCCCTTCACCGGTTCTTTGACTCCCGTGATGTCCGTTTTGACAAGTTGGTCCCCTACTACACCCATTACCCCTGTCGCGGTCTACCGATCCCTCCTCCCCCTCTCTTTCTGGCTCCCGCTCCCCCTCAGTCTCCTCAGGTACAGCCTCCCCCCCCCTGGTTCCGCCCCATCAGGTGAGTGTGCCTGCACGGGGGCCTGGTGCTGGGGGTGCTGGGGTTGGAGCTGCCCGTGCCTACAGAGGTTTCTAGTCTTTAGGGAGCTAGTGCTGGTCGAGCTAGCTCTGGGGGTGCCCCGACTTGGGGTGCGGGTGCGCCCCCCGCTGGACCAGGAGAGTCTGGGTCCGACCGCGTCGCTGCTGGTGGTGCTGGCTCTGGGGGTAGTGCGACGGGTGCTGTCGAGACGGGTCCTGGGGCTACCACCGCCCAAGACACTACTCCTCCCCCCCACCCCTACCCGACCTAGCACCAGGCCCGTATTCGCCGTGCCCGTGAGGAGCAGCTGGAGTTGGAGCGAGAGGAGAGAGAGTTGGAGCGGCAGCAGCTGGAGCTACAACGGCTAGAGGAGCAGCAGCAGCAGGAGCAGCAGCAGCTGCTGCAGCTGGAGGAGCAGCCGCAGCAGGAGCAGCCGCGGCGGCAGCCGACTGCAGCAGCAGCAGCAGCAGCCGCAGCTGGAGGAGCAGCGGTCGCAGCCGCAGCAGGAGCAGCAGCAGCTACCACCTCCTCCTCCTGTCTCTGGTCTTCGGACCCTCGGTCTCTTCTCTCCCTCTCCTCCCTCCCCCCCCTCTCCTCCCGCCTCTGGTCCCTCGCTTCCTCCTCCTGACCCCTCCCCAGCTGTGTTCCCTCGTTCTCAGCCCTTGTTGTCCCCTCCTCTTTCTCACACTTGGGCCTCTCGTCGCTCTCCTCGTGCTCGTCCCTCGTCCCCTGTCCCTCTCACTGACCTTCGCACTGTCCTGTTCCGTCCTAGTCCGCCTCGTTCGTCACCGTCTGTGCTTCTTTCTCCTCTGGAGTTCGCCCTTACTGCTTCCCTCTCTACTCCTATCACTAACTACTACCGCACGTACTGACCTGTTCTGTCTCGTGTTCTTGCCTCTCTTGCTACGGACCCTTGTGCCTCTTTGTCTTCTGTGTCCGCTCTTACTGACGCAGTCACAAAGTTTGCCTCTACTCGCCGCCTTGACTACGCCACCAGTCTTGTGGCTGCTCCTCCTACCAGTCCTCTGGCCGTCGGGGGTGAGTCTGCCCTTGGCTGTG